GTCAACACATCACTAGATAAGCATATGAGCTCTATCTATGGAGTCCATCCCCTATCTCCTCCCAAACAACATCCGGTTTAGAGATCCATCCCCTATCATCCCCTAAACCGTGGAGTACATCCTCTATCTCCTCCAACACAACACAATGCATATAAACAATTATTATACACATTATCAATCATTACATAAAGTTAATGTATTTTTTCAACCGTCATACTCAATGACACATTCTAGTGATTAGTTTTAGTTTGCCTAATCATCATGCATTGTCTACAACAATCAAGACTATCCTCCACCGATAGCCCAAAGCAGTTATTTCTATACAGAATATAAATGCAACAAACGGATATATAATCAACATTTTCAACTAGGAATTCCTCATTTCTCACAATTAATTATACAAATTAATTAACCAATGTAATTAGGGCATTTTTCATAATTAACATTACAACTCTTAGGTTCTGTTTCCATCAATGTCTCAAAATTTATTCCATTTCTCTATGCCAAACATGCATCTAGGTTTATTATAATTAAAACCCCAACTTTTATAAAATTACATAAAGGCCCAAAGTTTTCTCAAAATTACACAACAACTCCCGACATATCAAAATGCTAAAATTTAAAGACAAAGCTCATTAAGAGGAGTAGGGTATCCCTACCTCAAATTTAGAAGGGGAAGAAGGAAGAAAAACCCAAAAGTCGACGGAAGAGAAACCAAGCTTTGCTCCGATCAAAATGAAACCCTTGACAAGCTCTACACTTTATCTCAAAGGAGCAAGGTGAGTAGAGGTTTTCAACCAAGTAGACCTAAGGATCTTTGAGTAAAAAGTGCTTTTTGAGAGAGAGAGAAGGTGTTTTACGGTTTGGAGAGAGGAAATGGAAGAAAAAGTGAGAGAAAAGGTCAAGTGAGGACCTTTATATAGTACTAGGTCAAACATAGATATAAGCCCCAAAGTCAACTCAAAATATTTAGTCAAAATATCCCCAAAAAGTAGGTCCAAATCGTGAGAAAAAAACTGGGAAAAGTTGCAAGTGTCGACCCTTCACAACACAGGTGTCGACATCTAAGAAGAAATCTGGAACACTAAGTGTGACTGCACTGCAGGTGTCGACCCTTCCCTAGGCTGGTGTCGACACCATAATGCAGTGGGCAATTTCAGAACAAGGGTCGACCCTTCCACAGATTGGTGTCGACCCTTGCGGCCAACCAAAAGAGAAGGTGTCGACACCACCAAGGCAGGTGTCGACACCAAAATGCAGTGAACAAATTCAGAACAAGGGTCGACCCTTCCCAGCTTTGGTGTCAACCCTTATGGCAAACAAAAGAGAAGGTGTCGACACCACTGAGACCGGTGTCGACCCCAGAACATGATTTTCAAGTTTCCAAACAACTTTTCAACGCGAACGAGCGTGAATGAACAATCCCAACAAGTTTAAATCAATTTGTACACCTCCAAAACTGAGGTACAACAACACCAAAGATTCCCAAAATAAAATAAAGGGTTCAAATACATTTACCAAAAGCTTTAAAGGGCTCAAGTGCTACACTCCTGTTTGAAGAACCTAGTCAATTTATAATTTTGGGGAATCGTCTTCTTCAAGAAATAGGATGATGATGGTGAAGATATTTTTGCTTTAATCCTGTTTGATTTTCTTCTTCCCTCCTGTTTGCAGTAGAATTGTAAATTGGGATAAATTAAAGTGTGTATTTTGAGGGTAAAGTGTGTGTACATATGAGTGAAGGATTTATTTATATTTTTAAGGATGTGGATTGAGATAATTACTAAATAATTAAATTAACAGAGATGTGTATTGAGAAAAGATTTGCTCTGAGTTTATTAGGGTGGTGGAAATAGAATTTCCCAATAAAGTTGGGACTGCTTGATTCACAAGTTTACCTTATGGGTTAATCACCTAATTTTTTAATATTGTTGTTGGCTTATTTTTCCTACGAAGGAAAATATCATAAATGCGAGCGTGCCAGCAAGGATTGAAAAATCCTTACAGATTAAATTCAAGCCAATTATCAAGCGATTGTGTTGACGGTTCTTTTGCCTCAACGAAGAGGACTTCAAATTTGCCAAGTGTAGAGAAAAGAAAAAGTAAAAGAAGAAAGAGGGACGGAGAAAGACGATTGAGTGAACAATCAAAGTAATAATTACTTACCTCTACTCCTATGCTTCGAAAAGAAATTGCATGAAATGCTTCGAAATGGAAATACTGAAAATAAATGCTTCGAAATATAAATCTATGTTAAACTACTCCTAAGATAAGGAAAATGACAAGAAATATTGAAATCAATTGTCTTTGATTTAAGTTCTGGATCCTTTACAATGTAGCCATTAATGGCAATTTATAGAAGAAAAAATACAGCAATAACTACTTAGTAACTACCCATTTCTTCCATCTTCATTCTTGTCTTGCCATGTGTCCTTCCACTCATCCACTTTGTCCTCCCACTCATCCACTTTGTCCTTCACATTCTCCATTATGTCTATAACTTCTTTTAACTTCCAAATGAATAAAAGGATGCCACTTCTTCTTCCCTCCTGTTTGAAGTAGAATTGTAAATTGGGATAAATTAAAGTGTGTGTATTTTGAGGGTAAAGTGTGTGTACATATGAGTGAAGGATTTATTTATAATTTTAAGGATGTGGATTGAGATAATTACTTAATAATTAAATTAACAGAGATGTGTATTGAGAAAAGATTTGCTCTGAGTTTATTAGGGTGGTGGAAATAGAATTTCCCAATAAAGTTGGGACTGATTGATTCACAAGTTTACCTTATGGGTTAATCACCTAATTTTTTAATATTGTTACGATAATTTGTGATTCACAAATGAAGTTACACATCTTATGATAAAGTTAGTCCTTTATGTCGTAATGTTAAACAATTTTTTTATCGAAATATTTTTGACTCATAATGCCACAAAAATGCATAATTATATTTATGAATCATAAATTTTCATCGGAAAATTATGTAATATTTATTACAAAAATACATAACATATAATACTAAAATAAGGAGTTGGGCTTCTTTTATGTTGGTCACCTTAACTTGAAAGAGCGTTTAGGTTTAGTAGGTCCATTTTGGGACCAACTTTGGTGATTTGAACCGTTACTTTCCAGGACTCATTGCGAAAAATATTTACGTAAAAAATCAAGATAATCCGATATTAGTAGCTATATGTTTGAATCAAATTTATATTTAAAAAAATAAATGACTATTCTTAAAATTATATTTGTCGCCCATTTAAAAAAAAATGATTCAAATATATAGATATTGATATCCAATTATCTTGATTTTTTGCGTGATTATTTTATTCAACTAGTCCTAAAAATAAATGGTTTCGATCATCGAAATTGATTCCAAAATAAGCCAATTAAGTTTAAACGCTTTCTAAAATTAAGATGACAACTTTAAAAAAAACCAAATTCTAAAACGAATATATTATAAAATGCAGATAATACCCACCGAAAGAGTTCCCCTACCTAAATTCGTTGGGCAGCGTTTATAATACACACCAGTTGAATTGAGTCATCATTGCCATTGCAGTTATCAATCCATACTTCACGAATTTCATAATTAATCATATCATAAGCTTTGTTTGGAGGGACTGAGTTAAATTGGATTGGTATTTTTGAGACTGTTAATTATGAAATTATCAATCTATTTTTATTGTATACCCTACTCCATGTTTGAATTGACAAATGATTTTTGTAATTTAATTAATTAATCTGAATCTCTCCTTAATCTCCCCTTTTGTTTCCTACCCTTACTCTTGGGATTCAGTACTCCCCATATAAGGATATCATATAAATTTTCTTTAAGTCCACATTAATTTGTATGTCTATATTTGTGTATTCCTATTGATTTCCGTTTATTTTCAGCATCTACAGATTTTTGTTCTTGATAGAAAGTTGTGAGAATATATCAAATTGTCAAAAACAGAATAAAATCTCAAAAACACAATTATAATAAAACAAAATGCTTAAAATAAGACATCCAAATTAATTAAGCTTTGTGCTTTTTGTTGATATGTGCTTGGATTAGCCGCCACTTTCCAATGATGATGCTTAATCAGGATATGTTTTATATTCAAATCAACTCCAATTATGCAGTAAACATCAAAGTTTAGCAAAAAATAAACAAAGAAAGAAAGAAAGAAAGGTAAATTATAGTAACCTCCCATGAGGTTTGCTAAAAATACAGTAAGCCCTTAGTAAGGTTAACATGTAGATGGCATACACAGACATAAATAAGGTAAAATGTACATTTCAATATAAAAGAAATAATAACATCATTTATATTTCAATATGACTAATGAATTACTAATGAAAAGAGAGTAAAGTGGTATTTGAATTAAAATTCTAAAGGATCTCAATATAATTATATTAAACTTGTGTGGCTTATTATATTTTCGTCAAATTTAAGTGAGGTTAGTGTATTTTATCCCCCAAAAAAGAAGACATCATTTCACAATTTGTTATGGCAAGATATTGGGGGTGTTTGTTTCAGCTTTTCAGAGCCAACTTATAGCTTTTAGCTTTGAAAAAGTTATTTTGGACTGTTTGGTTAAACTTATTTCAAACAGCTTCTGATTCTAACAGCTTATTTTAACTCAAAAAAGCTGATTCTGAGAAGCTGCTCACCCCTTGCTTCTGATTATCAGCTTCTGCTGTGGACATGCTAATTTATGATTATACTCTTAAATTTTTTTATTTTTTATTGTTTTAAAAATAAAAAAAGACTCAAATGGACTATAGATTATTATTATTATTTTTTTTTATGAGAAATGTAGACAAACAAAAAATAAAAATTAATTGAAAAAACTATTTCACAGCTTATTTAACAAACACTACTCAGCAACTTAAATCTATAATCCAACAGTTACACCAAACAGATTAATAACTTCTGATTAAAGTCATAATTTATAATCTGTTAAGCTATAATTTATAAGCTGTTTTAACAGCTACACCGAACGGGGCCAATTGTGATAAACAGACAAAAAAACATCATTTTATTATATCAATACAATGTTAACAACACCATCATGTAACCATCTATACAATGTGAAATCTACAACAGAAAATTCAAGACAGTTACACTTTTAAAACAAGTAGGATGGTCTGATCTTGCAGACAATTTGAAGCAGACTGATATTGTCAAGCTTACAAAGTGACAAACAAGTCAAAACAACCATTCTCATAACTTTTACATCACTTTCAAATACAGTTATACTGGATCGTTGAAAAAACCATCAAATATATACATAGAGTTGATAATTGAGTGAACAAGATATTATAAGGAGAGTCAGGAATGTACAGGTATAGACGATGAGCTCATGGATACAACGCAGCCTTTGAAACATTCAAGATGGACATTACGACTGACTAGCCCTGAATGGGAAGTGAGCGGGAGGCCTTCCTTGACACACTCATCATACTTCTCCAAAGTAGAAACAATGTAGCTGAAATCTGGTCGCTTAGAGGGGTTTGCTGCCCAGCAACGTTTTATGAGGTGTGCGAGCGCAGGCTGGCAACTGGCAGGCAGTGGTGGTCGTTCATTCTGTCATTGATGTTATAAAAGAAAATTTTAAAAAAACAATCGCAGAATGCAAAGAAAATTTGAAGCAGATAAGATGAAGAATGGAACAATGATAAATCAAATTTCATACTCCATAAGATCAATGAGATGAGAGCAGCTAACTAGCATGATGACACTCACTAATGCAGTAAACCATGTAATATTACATGTGTGCATGTTTGGGTGGAATTTTTTTATTTTATTTTGGAGGGGGCTTTGTTGAGTTTATAGCCTAAAATCTCAACTCTTACAAGGCAAGAAGGTCAACTATCAAGAAGCCACATAACATGGTAATATAACTTCATCCTCTACCCAATAGAATGTAAAGAAATACTAGTTGAACATTTTGTTTATTCTTTGAGGATAGGCAACTGATAGTGAGGACAGAACAGAACAAAGCAAAACATAAACATCATCATCTAGAATGTAAAGCACCATCTAGAATATATAGCACCAGGACCATAAATCACCCTAATTTTCATAAAGATTCCTCTCAGATCAGGGAAAAAATATTAGGTAGTCCCAGAGTAGGTAGACTTCACGGGGCTTCCGCCAAATGAAAAATCATAAAATACACTAAGGCTGTGTTGGGATGATAGATTTGGACAAGGATTTGAAAAGGGAAAGGAAAAAAGAGAGAAATAGAGAATAAATTTAGCTTATATTTCAGTCATATTACCCTCAGATTTTCCTTTCTTCTCCCTACCAAATCCATCATCCAAACACAAAATATGTGGATCATTCATTGTTCTCAACTACCTAAAAAGTGGGTCCGCATTATCCCTCCTGTAGAATTTTTGCTACATCATCGGTTGGAAATTGCCCTAAAAAAAGTTCACTCTTACATAGGCTGTGTAAAATATTGCCCAATCCAGTAAAACCGCACAAATTTGCATCAAACCTCACCTTCTATTTGCTAACTGCAGATTAAATTCAAATTTTATTTTAATCCGCCTTCGAAATTGCTCCCCTCCGCTATAATTAAAGATATATATTTTTTAAACTCTAATGAAATATTAAAGTAAAAATCAATGTAAGAAAGATTTAAGATATGAAATTTATTACAAATTAGTTGTTATATATATGAAAAATATTATGTAAAGTTAGTTTGTGTCATATATATGAAAAATATTATGCAAATTAGTATTGTATATTATACCAATGCTTGATAATTAGTTAGAATATTTTTCAATCCACCAATCCACCCAAAACCTCCTAAACCGCAATTTGTCAATCTCCGCCAATCCGCTAATCCGTCATTTGATTTATAATTTTACTCCCAAACCGCTCGAACCGCACAGGCTTCTCAGAACTTGTTGAAGTTTATATTCAAGAGCTAAAACCATTGAGACAGTTTGCTGATACTAAAACAATTATAACCAGACAAAATATTTGAAGTTTATACAGATCCCATGAAAAATGTATCAGTTATGGGCTTCAAATCATGAAGCTTTGCTTACGTAAGTTTTCAACAACCACAATTATAACTGCCAGGGATTTGAATAAAATTCCATTAGCCAATGTAATGCAATACAATAATCCATCAGTGCACAAAGTGAAATTAAGGGATGGTGAAAAATATGGTTCATGAAATTGGCATAATTTGTTGTTGCATTTAGTTTTTTTGTGTTTTTTTTTTCAACAAAAAGACATACTGGATGATTCTTCCTATGTAATTGATCTTAACTAGGAAATGTTGTAAAGAGAGGAATCCGAATCAATTGGGGCTAGATGAGCAGCTGAAAAGCATACATTTGGGAAGAATTGGAAGCAAGTGCCACACACTTCTTCCATGGATTGTACTGATTGATGATCAAAATTGTCAAAACATATGAATGTCAACTATTGTGTCCAAAATTTATTTTGTTCTAGAGAGTAAAGAACAGGCAGGCAAATTGGAGGAAACTTATAGTTTTTAACATTCAAAGTATGAGATAAATTTTTTTTGGGACTAATACTTACCTTAATTTTCATTGATACATCTGGCAGAAAGAAATGCCAAAAATTGGCAGATTCATATATATACATATATGCAGTTGATTTCACTCGATGCAAATCCAGTTTTGGCGTTTGGCATAATGGAGTTATCAATTATGATCAGCAGAGAGGAAGGCGAGAAACTCATGTCATAAGAAATATAAAGATAAATTAGAGAGACGGGGAGGGGTGAACGTTCTTAAGTAGATGAGCACACACCCACATGGGTGTGCTTGAAATCTGCAGTTATAGATTTGGCAGTTAGAAAGGATCCATGGGTGTATTTGAATTCAACATTTACAGAAGAAGGATAATTTAGGAAAAAACAAAAAAAAAATTGTGACAAAAGGGTAAAAACCAAGAACAATGTACGCTTTATATAATAGTATAGATTATGTAAAATATGAAAATATTTCAAAAATAACAGTCAAGTATCACAAAACAAATTTTAGTGAAGAATTCAGTCTATTGAAATGCTTACCTTTTCAGCCACAGCAAAGGCAGCCTGCACGGGGGTCATTCCTTGAAATGGAAGCAAAGCTGTTGTGAGCTCCCATAGCACAATCCCAAAACTATACACATCAACTTTCCGAGTGTAAGGTTTTTCCTTGATCATTTCTGGGGCCATCCAACGATAAGTTCCCTTGTTTCCTTTTGATTCTAGGCATTGTGTTTCTAGACATGATGTACCAAAATCTGCAACCTTAACGCGCATCTCATCATTTAGAAGCAGGTTATTTGATTTAAGGTCTCTGTGGATCACTCCTTGCGAATGAAGATACTCCATTCCGCGAGATATATCAAGGGCTAACCTCAAAATTGTTTCAGTTGAAAGTGAGTATGGCGCTTTCTTGTTGAGATACATCCTCAGAGTTCCTTGTGACATGTACTCTGTAATGATGCAATATACCGGAGGCTTTTGGCAAGCTGCAATGAACTGCAGAAAAAGAAAAAAGGTCATTACTGTTGAAGATTAGCTCAGATTTTCAACGATGGCTGCTGATTGAAGAAAAAATTGAATAAGCTAGACATTTTCAGCCGAGCTACTCATGGTAGGGTGGCTGCCATAAATGTTTGGTGGTTGCCATAAATATTGTCGGTGGCTTGTTGAAGACTTTGGCCCTCCATTTTATCTATAAATGGTTAGTGAATGGGAGGGGGTCAGTGTGGTGAGTTGAAGAGAGAATACAGAGCAGAGAGAGAATTATAGAGTGTGTAATTCTTTGTTCCAAATATAGTGAAATCCGCTACCCGTGGACGTAGGCGATTTACCGAACCACGTAAATCTTTGTGTATTCTTGCTTGTGTGCTTGTGTGTGATTGTTTTCTCCTTCACAGGCACAACAATTACAAACTTAAACTGCATTAATTACTGGAAACTAGTAATTCTTTAGAATTAAAAGTTTGAACAAATGGAGATGCTGATGTCTGCAAAATAGAAATCATTGTTCCTGATTACAAGAAGCCCAAATCCTTCTAGGTTACATTAACATAGATTCAGTTCACTCGTCAAGAATATCATAAGAGAAAATAATTCCCAAGAAAAGTGAATTAAAGGAAAACATATCACAATTATTTTTTCATTCTCTGTCTAGTTTGCAAGAAATTTGTAGAAAATTTAGTTTATAACTCTCATGCAATGCATAATCAATTTTTATATTTTTATTTATAGGAAATGATTTAAGAAAAATACTTTCTGAAACCAAATGACAATGGTGGAACCCATGTTTTGGTATGCAGGAAAGGAAAATAGTTTTCGTTTTCCTATTTCTTTCCTTTCCTATCAATTAAACGCAGCCACGGTTTGAATAGAAAAGAAGATATGCACGCAATCTTGGAAAGCTAGAGGTGACATTAGGATGGAATTAGGAGAAGATTATAGGGCCATGGCCCTGTTTCTGTGAAAAATACGATTTGTTATGGTATTTTAAATATATATATCTCATTTTATACATAAAATGACCCCAGTATAAACATATCTCATTCTTATCCCATTTTGCATTCCTTTTTTATTTTGCACCAAAAAAACTTTTTCATCCTATTAAAAATTGCTTCTATGGTATTTGAATTTTTTTTTATGTGTATAAATATAATTTATATATCATTTTGTACATACATAAGTGCTTATGTATATGGTAAAAAATTTTATTTCTCTTTTGGACCCTCCAATGATGAAATCCTAGTTCCGCCTTGGGTGGCACCAACAAGGAAAAGACAAATTGAAAGTTAGTTAAGATTGTTTGGCCATGCTGAAGTACTAATGAATCCATTAGCTAGCGAAGTGGAGTCACTTGATGCAAGATGATGAGATTGAGCAAAGGTTACAAACTTAAGAATATATATATTTTTTTTGATAAGTAAGAATTTTAACATTATGGACTGGCTTGTGATATAGACAAACCAAGTTTGATTGTATAGTAAAGCCTGCTGATTTATTTAGATCTGCTCAATAAGTTAATAGGTACTTCAAGATTATTTAAAAAAAAAGAAGAAAAGAAGAAAAAAAAAGAGAAAAGCTAATTGAGCTCAATTTCATTAGAATCTCTTTCAAGATCAGTTGGAGAGAGACAAAGCAAGCTGGATCACATTTCAAATTTTCATAACCAAGCTTAATAGACCATAATTCAGCTTGATTTGACTCATTTATAGGTATATAAAGACAATAGTTTTGAAATAGTAAATGAAAGATGAGGCTTGCTAACGAGTGTCCTCCGGGCACAAGAAAAAGGCAAAGAAATTGAAGAAGATGGAACACTTTTAACTGAATTTAATGCACTTTTTTATTGAAATCAATACACTTTTTAACACTTTTACTTATTTCTAAGACACTTTTAACTTAATTCCAATGTTAAACAATGTCCCAGGAGCAGTCTTTAGCATTTGGATATAGCCCTATATTTGAAGCAAATGTTAAACAATGTCCCAGGAGCAGTCTTTAGCATTTGGATATAGCCCTATATTTGAAGCAAATGACCAAAAAAGCATCCTTAAATGACCTTGAGTTGTTCTATTGTGTGTTGTTTAACTGATTTTACACACAAAACAGTGAAAACTCAGAATTTAAAAAAGAAAAAGAAAAAAAAGGTGTGTCAAGAAAAGTTGTACTTGCAACATTGTATTCATTTTAGAGGGACTCACCATCCACAGCAGTGCGCCTAATGTTATACAAATAGAACTTTCATTTTTATACATATTTCTTACACAAAATGATATGGCTTTTTATTATCATTTCATTTCAAATTAAAATACTCATGACTAATAATTTTAAAATTGTCACCATCATATCATTCGAGTTAAGTTTTTTTACTTAAAAAATTCTGTTTGTGGATTATTTACCGAGCAGTGACACTGCATAGATACATTTCTATAATAAAAAAGAAATTACAGGTCAACAGTATTATTGTTTTAGTTGACTTTTTAATGTTTTTCTACAACAAGAAACGCACAATTTCAAACTAGCACCACAACAAATACCAAAACAAACAATGATTTGCTTTATCTCTAAAGAATGTAGCTAATCATAAGTATTTCACATAATAGCATCTCCAACTTTTAATCAATTTTTTCATCTAATTTGATTCCAAATGTAAATAAAAAGCTTAATTTGATATTAATTACTCGAACCCTTTCATCAAATTTTTATTAAAATCCTTTTTAAAATTCTCTTTTTATCCCAAATTTATATTTTCATCAAATTTGTTGAAAGAACTATGTCCAATTAATACTCCATCTTTTAAAATTAAAAAAAAATATTTCTCCCTAGATTTGATGAATGAATTGGAGATGATTTTTTTTAAAATACTTTTTATATCAAATTTAAATTTGAAAATTAAAAAATAAATAAATAAAGAGTTGAAGATGCTCTAAATTTGTGATATAAAATCTTAAAAAAATAATATACAAATTTATTTTTATAAGTGAGATGATTAGCTGATAATTAAAAACGATTAGAAAAAGAGAAATAAGACAGGAAAATAATCACTTAATTAATAAATTAAAAAAAAAATGATCTAACTTTTAAATTTAAACTGCAATACTCATAAATTAATGAGAAAAATTGATAGTAACAAATGACATTTCTCTCTCTATATATTTAGAGTCTAACTAACCTGCACTATGTTAGGGTGATAGAGACGAGAAAGCAAGGCAACTTCAGACTTGAATTGCTCTTCAAGCAAAACCCTGGTCTCCTCCTTGTGAGTTGGTATCCTCACCATTTTCACAGCAACTGCCCTTTGCTTGTAAATCCCCCTGTAAATCCTACTATGAGCCCCAGAAGCAAACTTGTTTCCTATGAACAACTGCGATAGATCCGCAGTCCATTCCTCTCTATCCTCCTTCGACGACGATGATGCTTCCCAAGCCTCCACGTTATCCGATTCCAATATCATCGACCATGACTCCAAACTATCAAATCTCCTCCTCTCCATGTTTTCCATCTCCGAATTCAGATGTGTTTTCATTTTCGACGACCAAAATAGATTCTCCTTCTCCTTCTTCTTCGATTTTAGAAGCTTAAATGGGTTGAAACACGAGCTTGCCATTTGGGGATTTTGATTTGGGTTGGGTTGGGTTGGGTTGGGTGGGAAAGTCCTGAATCTAAAACACACTGTCAAAAGGAGTTTTCCTTCTGAAAGTGTGGATTGATTTCAGGAAGTGCATGAATTGATTCGGAAACATGGGTTCGGACGAAGAGTGTGAAAGAGAGATGGGTTTTCATGTATTGATCAAAACAATGGATGAACAAGAAATAAGCCATCAAATTGTGGAGAGGGAAGGAGAGCACAATGGAAGCTCTCCATTTGAGAAGTTTTCCATTTTTTGTTTTTGTCAGAATACGAGTGAATGCAAAGAAGAAGTCATGATGATGAGGAGGAGACTATTTTAATTAATATAGAAAGAGAATGCAAAGAGGGAAAGGCTTAATTGGAATTTGGAACAAAATGAAAGTAAATTCATGGAAATGCAGATTTTGGAGAAAGAAAGACAAGTTAGTGCTGTTTTGTTTTTTTTTGTTTTTTTGTTTTTTTTGTTTTTTTTTTTTTTTTTTGGGTTCACGGCTTTTTCCAATATGATCTAAGAAGAAAGAGTAGGTTGATTGGCAGCTGAAAGATGAATTCAAAGCAGAGTTTTCAGGGATGTCTCGTGATTGCTTCGCTCAAAAGTAGAGAGAGAGAGAGAAAGAGAGAGAGTGTGTCTGAGTCTCGAGAGAGAGAGAGAGACAAAGAAAGAAAACGCTTTTTCGACGGAATCCAACTGAAATTTCTTCATGTTTCATTTTGCATCATTCAATCAATTGAAGACGTTGGAATTTCGATATATGGATATATATATATATATATATATGTCATCAACTAACTGTAAATATTAACTTTAATTTCATATTTCATGGCTGGGATTTTTATCTAGTTTATGTTTGAACAAGAGGGGCTAGGAGTGTAAAAATGACTCGCGGTTGACGGGCGGTTCGAATCCCGCCAGCTGCTTGGGATAGGCTCGGCCCGTTTAGGCCCATTTGGGTCCCGTTCTAAGCCCAGCCCGAGACTTTGGGCCAGAGCCTAAGCCATCATTTTTAAACCTAGCCCAGTTCGTGAGCCTGGCCATCGGCCCGCTTAAGGCCCGGTCCAAGGTCCAATATTTTTTTAGTGGAAAATAATAAAATTTTGGAAGAAAAAATATAAAAAAACAAAAAAATTTGTTCAGGCCCGACCCAAGCCCGAGCCTATACCCAGGCCCACCGCCCCGTCCAAGGCCAGGATACCTTTTGGGCCTGCGCCTAATTTCCTAACCCGAATTTTGGCAAGAGCCTACGAGGTTCTTCATGGGCCGGGTCAGGCCAAATTTACATCCATAAAGGCCCCATGTATTATATGTTACTTACGGAAATTCGAACAGTTTATTTTGTAAAATTATTTTATCATATTATTCATAATAGAAATTTTAAAATAAAATATAAGTGAATCCGAGTTGAGGGGTGCATTAGGCATTAAATCCAAAGATTAGTCTTATTTGGTGAGAAAGACATTTGTTTAAAAGTTGCCGGAAGAGTCATTGACGTTGAAAAATAGATCAAAAAAGTCATTGGAAGCAACGACTAGCTGTGGTAGTGAGTTAAACGGATTGATAGATTTGTGAATAGATGAGTGACATGTATATAGATACTGAGATATTTGACCAGATAGTTGCACAAATTTGAACATACAAGTGACACATGTACAAATATGTGCATTTGAACAGATGTGTGACACTTAAACAGATAGATAGATAGTTAAACTTTTTAACAGATAACAGGCCTTTTTGAACAAATAATGTTCTCTTAATCCAAAAAGATTTAAACTTGGGCCTAGCCCAATAGTTTCAAAAATAGACTTCTAGCCCAAGTACTCTTAAAATTAAGTTGATATGATAATTATAATATTTTCATTTTATATTATTTGTTGATCCGATAATGTTATTTTATCATCTATTTTTTCAAAAAGAAATACAATAAAATAAAAATATTATAAAATGATACTTGTGAAGAGCCTTACAAAATAAACAATTTAAATTATCAAAATATAACTCGGATGAGATCCACTAACGGCTGATGTAAGGGGCAGCTAGCCCCTAGATCCATTTTGAAATCCTTGATTAATATATTATGTTTGTTTTTTAGATATATAATTTGTATACAATTACTCCCCTCCAAGTTTTTTTTTTTTTTCGGAAGTATCAATTTGTTTGAAGCCTTTTGCTAGGGTCATGCTGTAATGTACGCTATTATATGTAAGTTAACGTCTAATTTATAAACTTATTTTAATAATTGACTATTTTAATTTTTTTAAAAAGATGTAAAAAAAAATAGAGAGAAAAGTTGATATTTTTGTGATAACTTTTTTTTTGTGGCTATTTTTTTTTCAAAATAGGCCTTAATGTTAATTAATTATTTTGATATTTTGGCATGATTGAAAAAAGATAAAAAGTCAAAAAGTCACTATCTTGTTTAAGTCACATCATCTTATTTAAGTCACATCACCTCTCTAACACATCACTTCAAACCCAATCCAAACCCAACCCATATTTCATAAAAAGTCAAAAAGTGCACTTATTTAATCTTCCCAAACTAGGCCTTAGTTACGGGCCATTATGGCAGAAGGCTAGCAAATTATCAAATAAAAATTAGCTACATTTCATTATAATGTTTGATTATGCCTCACAATGGTGTTGTTTATTATGACTTATTATGGTGACTTTGGTTATGACCAAAATGGGTTTGAGATTTGACTTTAATTAGTACTAGTTATGATTCAATGAGGTTATAATCAATGTGAAAAAAAAATACTTATAGGGCGTGTTTGATTCCCCGGATTAGGGGGGACTATCCACTATTTGGATTGTAATCCAAATAATGCTCCTTATCCGCCGTTTGATTTTTTTTTAGTCCATCGGACTCCATGTCCGGCCGGACTCCTTATCCCCTATATGGGGGACTATTGTGTCCTAGGGGGGGTATGAGATAGTTTTTGGGAGACTATCCACTGTTGGGATTAGGTGGTCAAAATGACCATTTTGACCATTTACTATTTAATTATGTATTATATTTAATGAAATTCAATAAAATTTAGATGTCTCAATTTAAAAATAAAATAATTTTATTTAACTTTTTATTGATGTTTTATTTATTTAATTTTTTAAAATAATTTTTTATAGATATTTTATTGATGTTTTATTTTAAAATTTTGTTTATATTTTATTTAATTTCATTATTTAAATTTAATAGATGTTTTATTTAATTTCATTGTTTGATTATTATTATTTTTAAAAGAAAATTTATTTAAAATTTTAATTAAAAAATATATATTTTTATTGATATTTTATTTATTTATTTTTTTAAAAATAAATTTATTTAATTGTGTAAAAAATAAAATAAAATAAATTTTTATTTAATCTAGCTAAAAATAATTAAAATATTAAAGATATGTTTAATATTACTATTACTTAGTAAACAATTGAAAAATGGTAAAATAGTCTTTTGTTCATTTATTCTATCCAGTCCGTCCAACCAAACATTGGATTCACTAAAAATAGTCCTTTCCAGACATCTAATCCCATGAAAAAATAAACACAGAATACATATCCAATCCAACCAAATAGTCCGGGGGATTCACAGTCTTAGGACTCAAGTCCGATGGATTCTAATCCCCCCTTATCTAGTCCGTCCAATCAAACACACCCATATGTTATTATTTTTTGATTATATATTTTATACAATATTGAAAAGAAGTTTATTACTTTTTCTGTCTCAAAATATTAGTCCCTTTTAAGGATTAAAATAAGATGAATTTCCTAATTTGCCCTTCTTGTAAATTCATTAACATTAATATACACAAAAAGTCTAATAATGACAATTGATGTTCCCAAAAACAGTCAAAGGATACTTTTGGAAAGTTAATATTTTTAAAGTGTAATAATTGTACCACAAAAAAAAAAAAAAAGATTTCCTAAAATGGACTAATATTTTGAGAGGAATGGAGTAATTTTTTTCAGTCAACAAACGTTTATAGAAATATAAAAAATTATGGTTATAAAAATGAATAGTTTAGTGCAACCTATATACAAAACTTTGGTAATAATGTGATAAAATAAATTTTGCTGTTAATTTTTTTATTGTATATAATTAATTTGGCTCATTTTCAATAAGATTTTTGCAGCTGCGGCTAGGCTCCATAAACTCAAGTTCTTTCAAATTTAAGGGTTTATTACACTTTCTACTCTTGAATTATCTCCAAATTATTTTCTTAAAATTATTGATTGAGTTTACTAAGTTCCTAAATTATATAAATTAAAGTTTATTTGGTATCTAAACTATCGATTGAATATATTAAGTCCCTAGAGTATTTAATTTAAATTTATTTAATTCATGAAATAATCACAAAAATAAAATATAAGACAATCAGTGCGATCACCCATTTTCTCAGAATTTATACTTCAAAGGCCCAAGTATGTCTCTAACAATAGCATTGCATCGACCTTGTCCCCGGAGACTGGTTGCCTTTGTTTTTCAAAATAAAACTTTTGAAACGAGACACGAAACCCATTCAACATTATTTTTGGAGACTATCACTTGCATTTGCTATTATTTGTGATCTATCTTGTGCTTTCCAATCTTTTGGGGATGATGGCTTTGCCTTCACACTTGTTGAGGCACGAAAACCTCACTCGCTGGCGGAATTCATGTAGAGTATGTTTGGTTTGGTTTGGTTTGGTTTTGAGAAAGTAGTTTTTAAAAATTATTTTGGGCAGTGAGTTTAGAAATTCTTTTACTAGTTTGTTTGGTTGTGTATTTTGAAAGTAGTTTTGGAGTTTTGGAGTTTGGAATAATTTGATATTTTATTATAATTGAGTAGAAGTATCTGAGAGAAAAAGTGATTGAGAATGAGAGAGAAGAGAGAAAAAGTGATTGATTGATAGATAAGAGAGAGAAACTAATTTTGGAAATTATTTTGAAAAATTTACAAACTAAACAAATTTTTTTTAATTTTTTTTCCAAAATCACTCTATAAATTCAAACCAAATATACCCGTAATATTCACAAATCTTTTCCCTCGACATGAGAAAAATGTCTAGAATTCAGTGCCTCCCTCTACCACATGCAACGTTTGTAGATTCCACTCCTTTCCTCACTGGATCTTCCTCCAAACCCATCACTCCCTAAACGTGTCAAATTCACTCCATCTCTTTATTTTCATTTTACGTACGTGAAGCATGTCTGAAACCATTCAATCCCCTCATGTATCCCCTACTTTGACTTTGTGCATCTGTTAATCCTACTATTTGATTTTTGATGATATCTAAAATATATTAGATATATTATGATTTTTTATATACATATTTTACACCTTTTGACACAAAATATATTATTGGATACTTAACAATTGGGATACATGCATGTATGCAGGTTCGAACGGAGATTTAGAGTTTGTAAAGATTATGTGTCGAAAAGGAAAATGTGTGTGTCAATTTCCGACCACACTGCCAATCAAA